CACCCCGGACAGGCTTGCGGCATCTGTCTCCGCAGGTGCTGCGTCGAAGTCCTTGGTCCACATTTTGCCTCTCGCGAAATCCACGAGCGCCAATAATGTCCAAGCGGCCCCGTCGTCCGTGGCCGGCATGGCCTGACATGGAACTGAAATCCAACATCTTCTTGCCCCTTTTTCTGCTTGTGCTCCTCCTCGCCCCCCCCTCCTCCCCATCACCCCCCCCCTCCCTCGTGCTCGTACTGTCCCCCCCCGATCCTCTGCCTCCTCGTCCTCCTTCCCGCCCTCCCGCTCCTCTTCCTTATCTTCATCCCTGTCGTCCCCCGCGCCACCCTCCCTTTCCTCTTCCTTCTCCCCCTCCCCCTCCTCCTCCCCCTCCTCCTCCTCCTCCTCCTCCCCCTCCGTTCCCTCTCCTCCTCCCCCTCCTCGTCCTCCTCCTCCTCCATCGTCGTCGTCGTCCTCCTCCTCCTCCTCATGCTTCTCTTCTTCCTCGCCCTCCTCATCCCCTTCCACTGCTCGTCGTGCCCCCCCTCCCTCCACACCTTCTCCCTCCTCTTCCTCCTCCCCCTCCTCCTCCTCCTCCTCCTCCTCCTCCTCCTCCTTCACCGCAATTGCTCAATATAAGTACTACTCTCCTCCGTCCCCTGATGACGGGTTGGGAGTGTTCGCCCCTCCCCGCCCCCTCCCCCCGCGTACTGTTTTTTACGCGCAGGATTTCCTGGAATTGGGTTGCCGCCTGCAGTTTTTATTTCAAAATGCTGCTCTCGCTGAGGCGCCGGCTTCATTTTCGGGCCCCGCTTGTTCCGAATCGTGCTTTCATTTCTGCGCTTCCGCTCGTTCCGAATCGTACTCCCGCTGCAGCGCTGGCGTCATGTCCCGCGCCATGCCATGGCATGGACAGCAAAGCTAGGTTGCGTTCCGCTGCGCGATGCCATTGCCTTCAGCTGAAGCTATGACATGCAGTGCTTAAGTGCCACGTCGTGCTATGCCATGCTACGCTTTGATATTCAACGCCATGCTACGCAATGTTATGTTCGGGGCCGCTGTGCGATGTCATGTTTTGAGTTGCGAAGCTTTGTGATGCAATTCTTCACTACGCCACGCCACGCCACGCTGTGACATACTACGCTTCGCGGTGCTCTTCTACTCCATGCCATGCCGTGCCCTACAATGCATCGCGTACCCTTTCGGGATCACTGTCCTGCTCGACACCCGACTGTGCGAGTAGAGAGGGGTCCATGCCATGCTAAGGGATGGAAGGGGGGGGGGGGGGGTACGATGTCAGATATGACGCGAGCGCACCTAGCTTGTCCTCCCCCCTCGCCCTCGCCCTCCTCCTTTAGCTGCAAGCGCGAGACCTTCAGGTCCATCCCGGCAACGTTCAACGCCTCCAGCTTACCGGGGAGATGTCGGAGCGGGGCATCAGCGACGCAGGCGCTGCGAGAGGTGCTTCGCCGGCGCGCGACGCACCGGGCAACATAGAATGCGGCGTCCAAGTCAAGGTACGTCCAGCCCCCCATAGCATCGACGAGGGCACGACGCAGTCCGTCGGCACCTCCGCTGTGCTGCAGGTCCTCCTCGTGCGCTTTCTTGAGGAGAGCGAACTTCTCGTCCACCCCGAGGCCCCAAGCCGGCTCGATGCTTTTCGCGGGAGCACGGCCGTGCAACATCCGAGCGGCGTTGTTGGTCTGCAGGTCCGCGGACGGCAAAGTGGTTGCCGAAGTAAGGATGAATCGTAGCGCCTCCGCGCGAGAATCAAAGACGTCCTCGTCCACTTTGTCAGCGGGCTCTCGGGGTGCGGATGGCTGCGCGGCGCAACCCTTGCAGGTGCGCGATTCGTCGCCCTTCGACAGCCACTGAGGCCTGGTGAAGGACTGCTTCCCCAGCTCGGCGTAGCAGGAAGAGCGCGGCTTGAGCGCCCTCTTGCGACCGCCTCTCGCGACGCCCTTTATCGGACGAGCCTTCTCCGCGCGCTCGGTGCATTTCTTGTGCTTGTACTTGAGTTGGGTCTTGGAGAAATGCTCCTTCGTCTTGCAGATCTCGCAGTCCATGCGCCTGAACATGCCTGGGGCGCACGCTTGCGCCGCGTCATCAAGCTCGGCGGCCTCGGCCGCAGGCCCGCCGCGCGCCGCGGCATCTCCCGCGGGCCGCTGGGGCCGAAAGCCGTCGCGCGGAGAGCTGGCCTTCCTCGGCGGGGATGGGGGCGAGTCGATTTCGCCCAGGTCGGCCGGGGCGAGAGACGCCGTCGCCCAGAAGCGTGGCGGGTCGGCCGCGGGCGCGGAGGCTGCAAGCTCCAGCGGCGTGGCGGGTGCGGAGTCGGCCATGCCCCGCCCGCGCCCCGAGCGCCCTGGCCGGTTGGGGGCAGCTGCTGCCCGCTCGAGGCCCGAGCGCCGCAGTGGCTCGGGGGCGGGGGCTGCGAGCGGCGGCAGCGCCACTGGTGCGGGGGCAGCTGCCCGCGGGGCATGGCCTGAACCTGCGAGCAGGCCAGTCGCGAGCGCAGGGGCGGCCGCCAGCGGCGGCGCTGGCGGCGCAAGCGGCGCGGGGGCACGCGGCGCTGGCGCGTCGCTGGAGCGCGAGGGGGGCACGGCAGCCTGCGCGGGGGCTGCCGTGGGCGGCGAGCGCGCAACGTTGGCGCGCGGCTGGGGCCCGGCCGCTGGCCGAGGCGCGGCCGCGGGCCAAGGCGCGGCCGCGGCCGCGGGGGTCCGCGGCGGCGGCGGCGTTGCCTGCGCGGCGCGCGCCCCACCGAGCACCCTGTCCCTGGATTTCTTGGCGGCGGTCTCCTTGTGAGACTCCCATGCGGTGGTTTTGCGCCAAGGGGCGGCGGGCGTGCATTCTTGCAGGGCTGCGCGCGGCGACCTCTCCCAGAGATCGCAGCAAGCGTTCCAGTCCATGCTGCTGGCGTCGCTCGCCAAGGATGACGCCCTGTACTGGGCAGGCGCGCGGGGCATCTGCGCGGGCACCGCTCCTGCCCCGTCGACGGCCAGACGCGGCGTCAGCTTGGCAGTCGATCCCCGTCCGTCGATCCTCCATGAAACCTCAACCTCGATCCTCGCTCTTCGATCGATCCTCGGTCGTCCCTGGAACCTCGATTCTCGATCCACCATCGAGCTGGATTCGCATTGAAGTTGTGGTCGGAAGCTGTCCCAGGAATGTGTTTTGAGGCCTGACAGAGATATGATCCAGGGTGGCGGGTTCGTACGTCCCCCAGCAGGGACTGGCCCCAGGGTTCCTACGTCACCCCCCCAGATGGGATGGGGGGGGGAGCCGCGCTGGGCGTCCAGGCGAAGTCCCGAGGTCGTCGTCGTCGTGGTCGTGGTCGTGGTCGTGGTCGTCTTGGTCGTCGTCGTCGTGGTCGTGGTCGTGGTCGTGGTCGTTGTCGTGGTCGTGGTCGTCGTCGTGGTCGTCGTCGTCGACGTCGCCGTCGCCGTCGTCCGTCGTCTTGGTCGTCGTCGTCGTCGACGCCGTCGTCCTCGCACAGACATGCAGACACACATAGATAGGCAAACTAGCGCACAAGCTATGAAGTAGGCAAGCAAGGCACATAGACAGACAAACAGACAGAAAACGCGACGCGTTCTGCCGGCCAGCCGGCCGTCCCAGAGCGGGGTCGACATAGAAGACGACAGCGAAGACGACGAGGACGTCGACGACAGGGGAGAAAACCACGACGACGACAAGGACACACAAAAATGCCACAAACGGTTACGTGCGACAGGGAAGCCTGGCTGCTGCTGCTGCTGCTCCTCCTCCTCCTCCCCTTTCCCCCTCCTCCTCATATTCCTCCTCTTCCTCCTGGTCCACTCTTCCTCCGCTGCTCTCCTCCCTCCCTCCCCTCCGAATACCAATTGCCTCCTCGCCTCCCTTCTTGCTCCCCTCGTTTTTTTTCTTCTTCCTTTTGTACTCTGCAGGGCGCCGCGCGGCCTCAACCGCAGCGCGAAGCCAAATAACGGAAGCCATACCCGGGAAACACAACAGCACCACAATCGTTGCGCGCACCGCTGTGCACCGAACGCTACTTGACCAATGATGGCAATATGAAGAATCACAAAAACAACAAAATTATGCGAACGGAGTTCCCCACATAAAGAGATTAACGGTTTCGTGGGACCCATTTTCTTGATGCCCTCCTCGCTTTGGCGGGGCCCCGCTGGAAGGGGGGAGGGCTACGAAACCTGGCGAAGAGTAATGCTTTCCGCGACCCTCCTCGTTCAAGCGCGGCCTCTCTGGGAGTGAGTGGAGGGGCACGAAACCGTGTAAAGAGTATGGTTTTCCGGTTTTCCACGATGTAAATAGTATGGTTTTCCGATACCCTCCTCGCTCAGGCTGGGCCTCCCTGGAGGGGTGGGAGGGACACGAAACCATGTAAATAATATGGTTTTCGATACCCTCCTCGCTCAGGCGGGCCTCCCTGGAGGGGTGGGAGGGGCACGAAACCATGTAAATAGTATGGTTTTCCGATACCCTCCTCGCTCAGGCGGGGCCTCCCTGGAGGGGTGGGAGGGGCACGAAACCATGTAAATAGTATGGTATTCCGATACCCTCCTCGCTCAGGCGGGGCCTCCCTGGAGGGGTGGGAGGGGCACGAAACCATGTAAATAGTATGGTATTCCGATACCCTCCTCGCTCAGGCGGGGCCTCCCTGGAGGGGTGGGAGGGGCACGAAACCATGTAAATAGTATGGTATTCCGATACCCTCCTCGCTCAGGCGGGGCCTCCCTGGAGGGGTGGGAGGGGCACGAAACCATGTAAATAGTATGGTATTCCGATACCCTCCTCGCTCAGGCGGGGCCTCCCTGGAGGGGTGGGAGGGGCACGAAACCATGTAAATAGTATGGTATTCCGATACCCTCCTCGCTCAGGCGGGGCCTCCCTGGAGGGGTGGGAGGGGCACGAAACCATGTAAATAGTATGGTTTCCGATACCCTCCTCGTAGGTATGGTATGGTATGGTATGGTATGGTATGGTATGGTAGGAACTATGGTATGGTATGGTGTGTGTGGTAGGAATAATATTGTGCTGTATGGAAGATGGAGCGGGAGGTGGGTGGGAAAGAGAGGGTGTTCTGGGAAAACAAGAACCCCACTCAGGATGTGGGGAAATACCAAACAAAAACAAATTGGCGCCTCCGCCTCCTC